CGGCCAGCCTCTGCCCCCTCTGCCTCCTTCCTGCCCCTGTTTCCACCTCTCACTCTCCACCTGCCTCTTCCCTCTGCACCCGTGGGGTGTCAGGAGTACTCAGCAAGTTTCACAAACAGCACCCTATCCTGCGACTACTCAGCAAGCTGCTTTGTTGTCAGGGTCTGACTTTGGCCCATCCACGTTGATAAACGGCCATGTGGTCCGTGTGTTTTCCCAGGCGCTGTCTCTCCTGTCTCTCGTGCCCCTCCCTCTCCTTGCCCAGCCCCCACTGTCTCCACTCCCCTCCTGCAGAGGTGCAGCCCGGCCTGGCACCCTGGCTCTCCCTAGACGGGGCTGCCAGGCTGCTCTTTGCAGGTCTCTAAGCAGGCGTGTGGATGTGCGTCTGGTCACCGTCCCAGGAGAGAGGCCAAGGGCTGCAGTAAGTGAGCGGTTTCAGTTTTACTGCACATAATCCAGTTACTATTCTCCTGGGGGCTGCATAAACTCCACACCCAACAGTACTTAACTCCTACCAGCAAGAGATGACCCGCGGGTGCTGAGCAGCCCAGCACAGGACAGGCAGAGTGGACACCGGGCTGTCCTCCTGGACCACAGCCCCACAGCTGACCAGTTTGCCCTGTGGAGAGCCAGGCACAGCTCTGTGCCTCAGTGTCCCCATCTAAGGTATTTGATAAATTCTAAAACACACATGTAAGTAGAGATACCTGCACAAGTGTGTGTACACCTGCACAGGTACAAACACAGATGTGGACACTGGAACAGACACATAACCCAAGGAAGGTGCAAACACAGGTGCAGACACACATGACCCAGCACAGATACAGACAGCCATGTAATGTGGGCACGCATGGCCCAGGTGGCCTTGAGCACACACAGGCCCTGTGTGAGTGGCCCCTGTGCCTCGGGTTCCCACCTACAACACCCACCAGAAGCCCGAGGAGGAGGATCCCGCAAGATGGTGATTCAGGGCACGGGTCAGTGTCGAGGCAGCGCAGGGCCCACGTGGCCATCTCCCCGGGTCTAGGTCCTGCCAGCACAGACCAGCAGGAACTCACCGTGGTCAGCGTGGGCTCATGGCTCCTGGCAACAGAAGGATCACACACCGTGGGGAGCCCTGGGGCACGTCCCTGAGAGTCAGGAGAGCGCCTTCTAGATTTAAGGTCACATTAGGGGATCTGAGGGTTTGGGGGACGCAGGGCTTTGCTCTGGATTGGGTGCTGCCGGAGAGTGGGGGTAATTTGGTGTTGGTGTCTTCATTGTTTGAATGTAGAAGGTTGGGACAGTGGGTGAGGGTGGAGCTTTGATTGGTGAACAATGTGCCGTCACTCCTACTGGTCAGGCTGGGGCAACGGGTCCTTCTGTGACCTGTGTTCAAAGTGGTCATGGAGTGACCGTTTACGCATTAGAGCAGGAGAACTCCGAGGCCCCTCCCTCCCATAGACCCTGCTGCTGTAGCCATTGGGGTCTCTGGAGGGTCCCCCACCCACTAGACAGGCTTCTGACTTGGATCCTTGCTCAGCGACCCTGTGGTCCCAGGGGTGGCTGGCCAGCCTCCCCCCACCAGCCTGTGTGTCCCCCCACGGGGCAGACCCTGTGGTCCCAGGGGTGGCTGGCCAGCCTCTCCCCTCCCCAGCCTGTGTGTCTGGTCTTCCCAGAAATCCTCAAGGGAGGAGGTTCCCAGCCTCCTCAAAATCCAGAGGACCTGGACTCAGGCAAGAGGGATGGACACTGGGAGGGCCTCCCTCCACTATGTCCACCCCTGTGTGACAAACAGAGCAAACCACCAGCTCATGTGGCCGGCAATGGTGCCCACATGGACAGGTGAACGTCTTTTAACTCAGTGATGGTAGTGGGCAGCGCAGTGTCCCCCAAAATCATGTCCACCCAGATCCCAGGATGTGGCTTTATTTGAAAACAGGGTCTTTGTGGATGTCATCAAGCTGAGTCCATAAAGGATTTCGTGGCCCTTGGCCCAATGACTGGCATCCTCACAGGAAGAAAGGACACAGAGACCCAGGAAAGCAGGCCACATGAGGACGGAAGCAGAGGAGAAGTGACACTCTTCAAGCCCAGGTCTCCAAGATGTCAGCAGCCTCCTGAAACCCGGAGAGAGGCTGGGAAAGGGCTCGATCCTCCCTCCGGGCCTCGGCAGCACCACCCCAGCCCACACCGGGGCCTCAGGTCCTGAGAATGGGTTCTGCCGGCGTGAGCTGCCCAGTGCACGGGGACTTGACATGGCGGCTCAGGAAACCTGCATAGGGACCTTGGTGGCCGTTCCCCTGCCTGCTCCCCGTCTGTCCCCGAGGGTGGAGGACAGGGACCCTCCCTGGCATGGCCAAGCCCCCTCGTCCCCGGGCTCTTGCTCAGGCACCTGTCCTGCCTTGGCTAGGTGGCAGCTCCTGCTGCTTGGCCCATGGAGCCGCCCTTGGGTAATGACCGTCATCATGTGACTGTGGTGTTGCTGGCACTGGTGATCTGTCATTGTTAACGTTTATGAAGTGACTGGTCCGTCTGCAGCAAATGATAATAATAAAAAATAGGAATTGCTCCCCTCTGATGGCCACGACCCGCAGGGAACCAAACGTCCAGGAAGGAAGAAGGGCCCCAACGCCCGGGTAGTGCCGGGACAGGACCAGCAGGTCACTAAAGGCCCCAGGCTCCTCTTCTCAGCCCTAAGAGCCCCTGGAAGTTGTTGGCTGATGCTGACCTCTAGCCGTTCCAGGAAGGCAGGAGAAGGTGGCCATCCATTGGCCATCGGTCAGTGCCCGTGACAAGCCCAGATGGGTCAGGCAGACCCAGAAGGAGGAAGGAGTTGAACCCAGACCTGTGTCTGCCTCAAGTGAGACCAGGACTCGGGGACAGATACTCACGACTTCTACGTGGGGTCCTGGAGCCAGGGAAGGAGTGGGGTGACCGCAACCCCCAAGGCGGGCACAGGGAAATCACAAGTGCACGTCACTCCTGGATGACAGCCCACCGCCATCTTCACGGCCTCCATGCTATGAGGAGAGTCAAAATGACCAGTGTCAACAGGGAGCCTCACCCACTGCTGTTGGGTGACAGAAGCCTGTCCCCCCACCCCCCTGGGGACCCCTCACAGGATGCGCAAGTCTCCATATGGGT